GAAGAAGGCAGAACATATTTCTCCTCAGTACTCACTGAACGAAGCATGTGTGTGTTGAAGTTCTTGATTCCGCTCTTCATTTCTTCCTCTACCTTCTCACGTTGTACATCTTCAAATCAGCTGCATCATCAACAAATACGAACTAAAGAGAATGTGACATGCTTTATGCATATAACTATCTCGCAACTTAAGCTGATATTCATAGACCAGCGTTTTCATAGCATCGTCAACTCAAGCATCGTCCAATCTCCTCGAAAAGTCAGCAGTTGTGTTACGGAATCAACAATTGCGCGAAAATAAAACGCAATTGCACAGCAGATTTTATCGCATATCCATCAACCGAACGAACACAAGCATCGATAAATTCAACTCTTCAATGTTCAACCTTCTGGTGTTGGAAGAACGTTCTTCTCGATTGTATCAGCATGTTTGAGTTTGAGTTTTGGCGATTTGATCTCTTCTTTCAACTCAGCATCAACCTTCTCACTGTAAACATCTGAAACGCGAACGATTTCTTCATTAATTGAGTGATANTCTACATAAAAGCCAATTGATAGGAGTTGGTTTCATCCAAAACTTTGGGTGAAACAATACGCGGATTGTTTTCAAATCCCAGTTTGCATTTTCGTGAATTTCGATTTGGACTCAATGATCGTCTATTGTTCGCACTAACGAACAAAATTGCAACACATCAGAAGTTTGCGCATAGTGGAAAGTACATTGATGCTTGAAAATGTGAACAACTCAAGGACGACTTCATTGAAGAGAACACTCATTCCAGACAGGAACCAACCTTTCGATGACGGTAGATAATTCTTTTCTTGCGTCTCAACATGCTTCAAATCAAGCCCTTTCGTAACGCCTTCCGCTATCTCAGTGGGAATCTTCGGTAACTCGGCTAGAGTTGGCGATTTTGGTCCCTCGGATGCCATTTGGTTGAATTATTTGGTCGTTTTTCAGCCGAACGCAATAGAAGCACCTCAAACTTCTCGACATTTTACAAATCGTAATAAGAAATAGCGAGTGCGCTACGAATTGCTTTGCAATGCCATATGCGCATTCGTATTATTGGCTTGAAGTGAGATAGATCTTGGCTAAACCCAGACTGGATGTAGTAAATGAATCGCTATTTGATATGAGCATTATTTCCAAAAACACACAAGAACATCATTAGGAGACAATCCCTACTTCAGACGCAATTCGTATTGCAGTTATTCCACTCGAATAGAGCCAAAATGAACTGACTGTATCATATAATATTCATGCTATTTATACATCATTGTCTATTATATTGCACTTGTTAATAGAATGCAGTGTGATCAATATCAATGAAAGAATGACGAATATGGATCGCAGATGTTCGTTTATGAATTATGAACATTTTTTGGAGTTATATTATTCATTGGTTCCACTATGAGAACAAATCAAATTGAATCCAACCAACAGCAAACAAAGAAAGCAGACCTCATCAACACCATTATCGCACACACATATGTAAAACGACTAATCACCGTGACTCATTTTCATCCAAATTCAATCTACATAAATTTTATTTCTTCATCGCAAACAAACGAATACTACTCAAAATTTTTTCCTCATTTGATCAGCTCTTTTCGCACTGTTCTATCTATTAAGATAGAATATCTCCAAGAGATTGAACTGATTATCTTGGTCGAAAGAAACGTTTTATTCCATTGAGAACTTCCTAAAAATCCTGCATATCCTAGGAACCGTCCGTTCACTCGTGTATCTTTCTGTCTGTTCTTTAAAGACGATAAAGGTGATCGTATCGGATTTAGAGCTGAATATAGAAAAGGAGATGAATTTAAGGGTTTATTCTATAATTATTTGATTGACTGCAATTTGGAATCGAACAGCCAGCACGAAACGGATGTCTTCGATCAATTGAAAAATACTGCGAGTTGTATAAAACATGACAATCATGCAAATCAAACGACCTGAATACAATCTACGCAAAACTCTTAATACGAGGATTTACGAGCGATTGTGAAAGGACGGATAACTAACAACTAACGAAACAACGCTGAATGCAATCGATTTCAGTGTATATGAATGAGCTAAGAGATGTGAACATTTCAACAGAAATTGGGAATGACGAAATTTTAACGTTTTTGGACATCGATTTGAGCGAAAAATACGAATACGAACGCGAATTTCATGAACTCAAAATAGTTTCTGACCAGACTGTATGACTCCATACTGAAATCTGGATTGAATTAGAGATTAGCTCACAATTGTTCATTTAATCACATTTCATAAATCTATGAATTGACGGGTTATGGAACGAACACTGCGATACGCGAATGCATAAACACAAAAATATGTCGACTGCTTAACACACTCAATGAATAATGTCGATAAACAATCATCTGTCATTTTCAATCAGAATTCTATTGATTTTCCACTGATCAAAACCCATACG